GTTACTCTACCACGGTACTTGTTCCTCTACTACGGTTCTGTACTTGTTATTCTACCACGGTACTTGTTACTGTGCCACGGTACTTGTTCCTCTACTACGGTTCTGTACTTGTTATTCTACCACGGTACTTTTTACTCTACCACGGTACTTGTAGCTCGCCACCACAACACACCCATACAGCCTGAACAACACACCCATACAGCCGATATATATATATATATATATATATATATATATATATATATATATATATATATATATATATATATATATATATATATATATATATATATATATATATATATATATATATACAGGGTGTCCCATAAGTTTCCATACATATGGTTTTTAACATTGGATTGGTCGGCGTGGTCCTGTGGAGTAGCCTCCCAGATCCCCAGACCTTACCCCACTTGATTTTTACCTTTGGGGGCATTTGAAGGCCATGGTGTATCAGGAAAAGATACAAAACATAAATCATCTCAAGCAACGTATCACCAACGCCATTACAAGCATAACTCCAGCTGTGCTTGAACGTGTTCTTCAGCAGTGGAGGACACGCATTGAAGAGTGTTTTCAACACAATGGTAGTCATGTAGAGCATATTATATAAATAAAAATGGATTTTCATATAAAAAGGTTTATTTTTCCTATGTATGGAAATTTATGGGACACCCTATATATATATATATATATATATATATATATATATATATATATATATATATATATATATATATATATATATATAGTTGGCATTAATGTAACTTTATTGAAGAATCTAGATCGAAGGAAATATGTCTGTTTGTCTCTCTCTCTCTCTCTCTCTCTCTCTCTCTCATGACCAAATCCCTCACCATGCAACACTTGGCCAAATTCCCAGCTTAGCTGGTGGAACCATTAGCTTTATAAAACAGACCTCCAGCTTAATTCTTCCTCCCTCATTTACACTTCACTCTTGTATTAAAACTTTTTGCGATCAATGTTTTTGTTACCATAGGTCGCAATATTAGAATAGAATAGGTATTTAAAATGGCGTTTTGTATTAAAAAGAAATACATACCGTCACGGGAAATAGTCCTGTCTGTCATCCGTCCTATTCATGAAGCCGTAGGTCTGAGACTTCACAGATTGTTGGGCCCATAGATGGCGTTCTGGGTTGTGTGATGTCTCGGGTTCACAGGTTCATGAGCCTCAAGGTTCATGGATGGGACGGAGGACTGGCAGGGCTTCTTTCCGTGACTATACAGGTGTACATTGATGATTTGTCGTATGAGAGGTGATGCCTTAATTAAAATATCGTAATTTAAACTAGAAGTAATGAAAAGTTTCACACGAAAATACAAGAAACTACATACCATACTGAAAACTATATATTCGGTATGTTACCCAGAGTGTAATAAAGTCTCCCCTAAAAGTATGTTTTCTCTGAGTTACCTGATCTCTTTCTAAGTGTATATTCATTTCTTTACTTTGAGACCTTTTCGTCAGGGCCGAAAGTAAATATTTTCACTCAGTTTCTTTAGTATTTCCAAGACTGACCTAAAAGTATATTTTCGTTGTTACTTTGAATTCTGCAGGGTACTGGACTGCTTGGTCCTGGTCGATTACCGTACCAACAGTTTTGAATGAGGTCTCACTGCCTGGAAGCAGTCCAGTACCCTGCAGAATTCCTTAATTCTTTGGAGCCCGCTGGAATGCCTCCTCACCACCTCACTCTCAAGATTGGAACTCCTATAATGCTCTTAAGAAATCTTGAACCACCAATCCTCTGCAATGCACAAGACTGGCGGTGAAGAACATGATGCCACATGTACTGGAAGCTACAATACTGCCAGGAAAATCTAAAGGAGAGGACGTGTTTATACCAAGGATACCTCTCATCACCACTGACCTGCCATTTGAGTTCAAGCGACTTCAGTTCCCGATTAAAGTGAGCTTTGCCATGACCATTTACAAAAGCCAGGGACAGTCCCTAAAGATGGTTGGCCTAAACCTGGTGTTTCCTTGCTTCTCTCATGGACAGTTCTATGTTGGATGCTCCAGAGTAGGAACTGGCAAAAATCTCTGTGGTCTACCTTAATGCACTACAGTGAGACAATGTGGAGCCTCCCGGAGGGTGGCGTCCTACCCTGGCCTAGCGAGTATGTGTATATATATATATATATATATATATATATATATATATATATATATATATATATATATATATATATATATATATATATATATATATATATATATATATATATATATATATATATATATATATATATATATATATATATATATATTAGGGTGGTCCAAAACTATATGGTAAAAAATATAAGTAGTAATATATTGCCTCCACAAGCCTTAAAATTGTCCATTTGGTTCATAGATAAGGTCTGTAAAATTTTATCCATCTTCATTAACATGTAGAGGTCAATCCATTTTGCATATTATACTTGTAGTGTAGGACTGAATTTTCTTGTCCGCATGATACAGTCTTAATATACACAACACATTATATTGGGTATATTTCAATGTATATAGCCTAGTTGCCTATTTGGAAAGGGCAAAGAGTCAAGTATTGAGTCATAGGGACTGACAATGACAGGTTGAAACAGGAAACACAGACAAGGGTTACCATTAATCAGATGAAGTTACTTATTTCATTTATATCTCATCAGTTCTACAATTATTTCATTATCAATATAAATAGTATATTATGCAGGTTTCCATCTTGTGTCATGGCATATGAATGGCAGGCAATTATTACCTGTGAGAAATAATTAGACTTAGTTACAGATTTTGTAAGGATGTTGGCAACACTGATCTGGTTCCAGTGAGTGCGCAGGTCTGAGCCACTTTGGCAGCTCCTCAGTTGAGTTACAACCTCTGCAGGAGAAGGTGTGTATTTGCAAAGTCTAACATTATGTTATTGGTTCTTTTTGTTTTCATTTATGGTATATATATATTTGTAAATAATGAGTTAGTAGATTGTCACCAATACTATGTACTATTGAATATAGGGTATTTTCTTTTTTTATCAATATCATTTTCTTGTTATTGATCTTGTATATTTGTTTAGAAATGTTTGTTTGGTTGCTATGGGTTACAACTGAATCATTTGTGCTGTAAATGAAGCATTCCATAGTAAACATTCCAAAGTTTTAAATTCAAGAAACACTTATTTTACTATCATAAGTGTAAGAAAAACATATCCATATCCTTTTGTTTGTTGCTACAAATTTTCTATATAAATTTCATATGTAGAGTGTCAGTACACTTGAGTGGATGATCATGTTCACAGATGGCAGCTATTGGATTTTCCTGCCAATGATATTAGCCTTGTTTCATTTTCTTTGTTTGTGTATTGGTAATGAGTATTTTAAAGTTTCTTTCATTTGTGCGAGATAATTAATCAGCTAACTCTCTCTTTCTCACTCAGGTACAATGGCTACAACGAGATCACATCCGAGGTTCTGGCTCCTGGGCAATTCATCAGGAAGTTTATCCATGTCAAGGCTGCCTACAAGTAAAGATGCCCTACTAATGGTGCAACATTTTCATATAAATGAGGCACAAACCATTACCGTGAGTTTAAACAAAGCATGTCTGAAAGTTAAGGAAGTTTGGGATCATGCTCATATCCCAACACAACGGGTAGATTCTTGTGCCCGTAAGCTTTCAAAGTTATATCATCAGTACCAGATGCTCAAAGTTAACCGGAATAGACAGCGTGAGAGTGACATAATGAAAGAACAAGTGTTCCAAGCTGATATTGAGAAGCTATTTGATATTGCCACGAAAGATGCAATGATGACAATGGTTAATTTGGAGGACAAGAAATTCCTCACTATGCAGCGGGAAAGTGTTCAGTCATGTAGCATGGCTAGTATTGATAAAGAATTAGCTTCACTTGAAACCAGGAGGCAACAGAGAAAGGAAAAAGAGTCCATGGCAAAGGCTAGATATGAAGCAAGGGAAGAATTTAATAAAACAGGACAAGCTTTCCACTACGATCCTTCTTCTTCATCATCATCATCAGAAGAAGAGTATCAGCCATCAGCTCCTATTCCATCTTCGTAAGGATCCCAAAACATGGAAAGACGATGAAGTGTTTATCACAATGAGAGATCGTGCGATAAATATGAAGGTGGTGAATGACAGCGCAGAGAGGGAAATTGCTCTCATAGAGCGTTATAATGAGTCTATAACGCAAAATGAGGACCAAAAGCAGTACCTTTTACAGGTTGTTGCAGCTCATCGCAAGAAGTTACCAACGGCAAGCAAAGCTGCTATGATGAAGGGATACAAATAAAGAATGTGTATTGGTGTTCTAGAGTTATTTAGTTTGTAATTTGTAAAACTTATAATTGTATTTTGCTGAATAAAGACAATGTGTTTATAATGTGTTTATCTAGCCCCGAAAAATCCTTATTACGTACTAAATGGAAAAAAGAGGACATTGGATTGACCTCTAAATATGCTTTAAATGATCCAATTTTTTTCTGGGATGCATTTTGTACCTAATGGACAAAAATAAACCTTGTGGAGAAAACGTATACAAATATGTGATATTTTGGACCACCCTAATATATATGCTGATAACCACAAGGAAGAAAAGCACAAGTTTCCCAAAGCGCTTTCGTGTAATTCCCACATCTTCAAGGGGTGAGTACAGAGACGGTCTGTGCCACCCTGAACTGTAATTACAGCACTGAAATGTTTCTTCTTTCACTGTCAGTTAATCCTTTCTCACCTAAATCACCTTTTACCTACAGTGATTTACTTGCATATATATATATATATATATATATATATATATATATATATATATATATATATATATATATATATATATATATATATATATATATATATATATATATATATATATATATTGCAATGGGTAATCCACTCTCACCTGTATTAAGCAACCTATATATGGAATTCTTTGAAAAGAAACTATTAAGTAATATTTTACCACCTTCAGCAGTCTGGTTTAGATATGTTGATGATGTATTATGTCTCTGGCCATGTAATGAGGACCTAAAAGCTTTCCTGCCACAACTTAACAACTTAGCCCCCTCGATCAAATTCACTGTGGAATTAGAGCAAGACTGTAAATTGCCATTCCTAGACTGTGTGATACACAGAATAGGTAACACTTTTAAGTTCAGTATTTATAGAAAACCAACTAATGTGTGTTCATACATTCATTATTATTCTGCCCACCATGATAAAGTCAAACAGTCAGTATTTTCAACAATGTTTTTACGTGCTTTGAGAATTTGCAGTCCGGAATTCATTGATGAGGAATACAAATATATATATAATATTGGCTCAAACCTTAAATACCCTAGATCTTTCATAGACAAATGCCTAAACATTACTTAGAAAACTTTTTATAGAACTGATCCCAAGCCCATTCATGACCATAAGAATATCTTAATATTACTATTTCACAAAAATTTCTCACACATTCCTTCACAACTAAAAACCTGGAACGTCAATGTGGCATTTAAAAACTCATGCACTGTTAAACAAATGTTAATCAAGAACTCCCCCAACAACACAATTGGTTGCATTTATAAAGTTCTTTGCAAGGAATGTAATATTTTTTACTTAGGCCAGACAGGTAAAGATCTTGCAACTAGAATTAAACAACACAAATACAGTGTTAGGACAGGCCAGGAATCCAATGCTCTGTTTGTTCATTTGAGGGATAACAAGCATTGCATTGACTGGGATAATGCCTCCTCAATATTACCTTGTAATTTAATTGATAGTAGGAACATCATAGAATCTAGTCTTATTAAACATACCGAAGCATTCAACATGAATTTGAGTAATGGCATGTACAAACTGGACAATTTTGTAATTAAGAAGATTTGTAACCAGGTGAGAAGGTCGGGTCACCTTACCATCTGACCTGACCACCAACCGTTGTGTGCTATTTAAAGATTAGTAGGGTCATTACCTAATACCTAACCATTGTGGACCTGGTCTCACCCTGCTCTGTGCATATACACCTTGGTTTGTATTTTTCTTTAGTCTGTACTCACCCCTGAAGATGTGAATTACACGAAAGCGCTTGGGAACTTCGTGTTTTCTTCTTTCCTTGTGGTTATAAGAACATAAGAACATAAGAAAGTGTGATACTGCAGGAGGCCGACTGGCCCATACAGGGCACATCCCTTTCACACCCATCCCAGCACTTCCATGTGCCTATCCAACTTCGTCTTGAAGCTCCCTAGCGTCCCCGATCCTACTATAGCACTCGGTAGCCTATTCCACATATCCACAACTCTATTACCAAACCAGTGCTTGCCTATATCCCTTCTGAATCGGAATTTATCTAATTTAAAGCCATTTGTTCTAGTTATTTCGTTATTACTGAGCTTCAGAACATCTTCCATTTTACCCTTGTTAATCCCACTTACCCACTTGTACACCTCTATCATATCTCCCCTAACTCTACGCCTCTCTAATGAATGTAAGCCTAAGCTTTTCAGTCTTTCTTCATATGGAAGGTTTCTAATATTATGGATCATTTTGTCATTCTTCTTTGTACTCTCTCCAAAGAATCTATGTCCATTCTATAATAAGGACACCAGAACTGAACCGCATAATCCATGTGTGGCCTCACTAATGCTAGGTAAAGTTTCAAGATAACGTCAGCAGTTCTGTTACTCACAGACCTAGATATGAACCCAAGAATCCTGTTTGCCTTGTTGCGAACGCTAATACATTGTTTTCTAGGTTTCAAGTCGTTGCTAACAAATACACCTAGATCTTTTTCACAAACTGAGTTTTCTATTTCCGTGTTACCTAGTTTATACTTAACGTTTGTATTCGTCTTCCCTATCTGTAGTACCTTGCATTTATCAGTATTAAAATTCATTTGCCAGTCTACTGACCACTCATGTAAGGTATCTAGATCTCTTTGAAGGTGTTCAAAGTCACTGTCTGAATTTATCACTCTCCCCATTTTGGTATCATCTGCAAATTTACTAATCCTACTAGTTATGCCTAAATCAAGATCATTAATGAATATAACAAACAGCAGAGGGCCTAATACAGATCCTGGGGAACTCCGCTTTTGACCGCACCCCAGTCTGACTTTAATCCATTTATGCTGACTCTTTGTTTCCTACCAGTTAACCATGACCTAATCCATTTTAATACTGATCCACCTATTCCATGTGCTTCTACCTTCCTTATCAATCTCTCATGAGGGACTCTATCGATGCTTTACTGAAATCTAAATAAATTATATCATATGACTTATCATTATCTACCGCTTCATATACTTCTGAAAAAAGCTAAGCAAATTTGTGAGACAAGAACGTCCCTGGGTGAACCCGTGCTGAGAAGAATGAATTAAGTTGAATGTTTCAAGGTGGCTTCTGATTTTGTAACAATAATTGACTCTAGCAACTTGCCTATGATTGACGTGAGACTAATGGGACGGTAATTTGATGCTATTGATTTATCACCCTTTTGAAAATCAGACTACATTTGCAAGTTTCCCAAGCTTCTGGCACTAGGCCCGATTCTAATGACTTATTAAATAAAACTGCTAATGGATTACTCAACTCATCTCTACATTCTTTTAATATTCTAGCATATACCTCGTCTGGACCAGGCGATTTATGCTGCTTCAGTTTGTTAATTACTTTAAGCACATCGTTACTAGTAATATTGATATTCATCAACATATTTTCTATACTGTCGTTATATACCTTATGAACTTCTGGAAACTGTGCTAGGTTTTCATTTGTGAATACGGAGCGAAAATGACTTTTTAACGTACTACACATTTCTAACTCATCATCAGTCATTTCTCCTGTCGTAGTTTTAAGGGGACCTATTGTATCTCTAACCTTTGTTTTATACAGTTGATAAAAAGCTTTGGGGTTATTTTTCGATTCGTTTGCTACCTTGGTTTCATAATTTCTCTTTGCTTTCCTAATTTCTGTTTTTACCTGTCTTGTTAGGTTCTGATAGTAACCAAGTAAGTGATTTTCGCCTTTCTTAACTTTTCTATATACTCCTTTCTTTTTCCCTAGAAGATCTAAGAGTCTATTATTCATCCATTTTGGTTGGTTCCGTATCGATCTGAATTTTCTTTTAGGGATGTGTTTATTTTGGGCATTATTGATTTCGCAATAAATTGTTCATAAGTAGCTGCTAAATTAAATTCGGGGGTTATCCCGTCCTAAGTTGACAGTTTCCAGAGGTGTGGGGGGGATTAATCTTTTGACCATAGGGTCATCCCTTAGGTCTCTCCTTAAGCTACCGTAATTAGCCTTCCTAAAATCCGGGATCAAGGCCGAATTTTCCTTCTTCCTGCCATCCCATATTATGTTAAAATATATGGCTTTATGATCACTGTTTCCTAGTTCGTCTCCAATCCCAACATCTTTTACTAGATTTTCATTATTACTGAGAACTAAATCGAGGATATTATTTCCTTTAGTGGGCGAGTTTATGAATTGATATATAAAACTATCTTGTGCTACTTCTAGAAAATCTTCAGATTCATTATCGCTAAGTTGATTTTTCCAATCTATGCCTGAAAAGTTGAAATCGCCTAGCATACATACATTGTTTCTATCAGATGCCTTCTTTATTTCCTCCCATAGCAATTTACCACCGTTCCTACTCAAATTAGGTGGTCTATATATAATACCAATGACTACGGATTCACTGCCCTCACCAATCTCTACCCAAATACTTTCATTGTCGCTATTTGTTTTAATGTTTGATTTATTGCAGCTTTTTAATGACACCCTGATATACACTGCTACACCGCCACCTCTCCTTCCTACTCTGTCAAATTTAAATAGGTTATATCCTGGAATATGAAATTCTGCTAAAAAATGCTTGCTGTTTGAATTTATCTATGTTTCCGTTATTGCAATTATATCTATGAATATATATATATATATATATATATATATATATATATATATATATATATATATATATATATATATATATATATATATATATATATATATATATATATATATATATATATATATATATATATATATATATATATATATATATATATATAT